CAAAGGTCAATAAATCTTATGCAGTTGGTCCTATGTCTCTACGACTTCTCAGTGAAGTTAGGTCTAAAGACCCTTGAAAAATTTTAATTATTTGTAAAATTCGCACAAGGGGCAATAACTTTTAAAAGTTTCAGGGACAAGCATGAAACTCAGTTTTAAGAGAAGGGGTTTACAAAAGAGATACAAATCCCTTCGCAATGAAGGTCAATGGTCAATGAATCTTATGCAGTCCCAGTCTTCTCAATCAGTCAAAGACTTTAGTGAAGGTTTCATATCTCTATGGTTTACGGTTTAGGAGTAGTAGCGATAACAAGCATTTCTTGCAAAAGGGGCAATAACTTCGGAAAGGGTCAAGGTTCATTCACGCAGGGTCAACTGCAAAAATCTTTTACAAAGTACATTCTTATGGACTATAAATCTCTTCGATATATCTTGAAACTCAAAATCACACGGCGGAAAAATAAGAAGAATAACTAGGAGACTTATTGTTCACAGAACAATAAGAGGTCTTTCCAGCTTTTTAAGTGTTTCCGTGTCATTTGGGTTGAAAAAACGAATAAAAACGCAAAAAAAAAAATAAAAAAAAAAAAAAAAAATAATAAGGTGCTCCAGCAGGATTCGATCCCTGGACCCGCGTATTAGCAGGCGAGCGCTCAAAACACAACGCCACGGGTTCCGTTGAAGTTTGTGTTGTATTATTGTCGAGTTAAAGTTAACGGAATTTCCTTGATTCATTGACCAGTCAAAGAGATCCAGTTAATAAACTTCTGACAAGCTCCTGGGTGTATATGTGAGTTTGAATGAGATTGTTTTCGAGTTAAAATGTAAGGGATAGGGTTTGATTACAATTATGATATTGGTATTAACGGGGATACATGCATTTGAGGTTGCGTAGCAATTTATGTATTTGAAAAAGGCCGCGTTTGTTTTGACAGATATGGTAAACTCATAGGTAAGATTTAATAATCATTTCTATTTGAATTGAATTCATAGTTACCAGCATAAATTAAACTTGAAACATGCATCTCAAAAAAAAAAAAAAAAAACAAAAACGGTGTCATTGAGAGCGTGGAAATTTATTTGACAGGAAAAATCGCAATTTTTGAGATTCATTCCAACAATATTAAATCTAAATAAAATTGAAATAAATTCCACATACTAAAGAAAGCAAGAATATTTGGTATCGAAATATCGTTTTAGAGCAGGAGAATCAAAGTGCTATTAACAACAATCTGAAGAAATGGCCAATACTAGCTTTAATTGATTTTTATACTCAGCAACAATTAAATTTCAGACAGAAAAAAAATGTAGATTTCGCCGATATTTACTAAAATTTAATTGTACTTAAGAGACTCACCGTAAAACTCTCAGGGCACTTTCTTTGAGGTGTCTTCTACATGCTAAACTGAATTTTATCTTGATCTGTAATGTCCTTTGAGTTGTAGAAAAATTTTCTATGCCGCTATTGATTTTTTTTTTTTTAGAGAAATGGGGGGGGGGGGGGTTGTATTATATAAGTGTTTGTTGACGAGAGAGTTATAAATACCTCCACATACTTGAGCTTGATTGTGACCTTTGGGTCAAAGGTCAAGGTCATTTATCAAGGTCAAAGGTCAAGGTCATCCAAAAAAAAAAGCACTTACAACTTGAGTTTTACACTTGAAGCTGAATCTAGGTAAAGATAATGAATATATCCTTTTAAACTTTTGAGAAAAGGTCAATGGTCAAGGTCAAATATCAAGGTCAAAGGTCAAGGTCATTTTAACCAAAAGCCCGTAAATAAGCAATTTTGATACTTTCCCAATGACCTTGACCTTTGACCTTGACCTAATATTCAAGGTCAAAGGTCAAAAGATCTCATGCAGTTGGGCCCATGTCTTTACGACTTGTCGTTAAGAAGTTTTTAGTTCTTTGTAAACATCATAAACTGCCAGGGGCAATAGCTACCTAAAATGTTTACGAATTCTTTCGCACTAATAGAATGAGAAGTGTACTAAATTAGTCGCAGACATTGTTGAAGGTTTTGTACCTCTACGGTTTACGGTTTCGGAGGAGTAGCGATAACAAGGGTTTACACTGAAAGGGGCACTAACTTTTAGAGGGTTCAATCTTAGGGGACAAGCATGGAATCTCTGAAATGGTTTTAAGAGTACATACTAAAGATGCAAAGAAGTTTAGAATTTGGTAAAGAACAGAAGAGCTATAAAAAATGCTGAATTTTACATATTTTGAATGACCTTGACCTTTGACCTTGACCTAGATTTTAAGGTCAAAGGTCAAGAAATCTTTTGCAGTTGGCCCCATGTCTCTACGCCTTGTCGTTTAGAAAAATTCTTGATATTTGTAAACATCGCAAACATTCAGGGGCAATAATTCATTATAGGAGTTTATGAATCCTTTCGCAATGTTTGATTGGAGAGTCTACTAAATCAGTCGTAAACATTAATAAAGGTTTGGAATCTCTGCGGTTTATGGTTTCGGAGGAGTAGCGATAACAAGCTTTTATTGCGAAAGGGGTCGTAACTCCGAAAGGGGTCAAAGTTCATATACGCAGGGTCAACTGCAAAAATCTTTTATGGAGTACATTCTTATCGACTAAAAATCTTTACGATAAATCTTGAAACAAAAAATCACACGGCGGAAAAATAATAAAAAAAAGGAAAAAAAGAAACAGAAGAATATCAATAGGTCTTTCCAGAGAAAGCTGGAAAGACCTAATAAGAAACAGAAGAATACCAATAGGTCTTTCCACGAAAGGTGGAAAGACCTAATAAGCATTTCAAGAGGTCTTTCCACAGAAAGGTGGAAAGACCTAATAAAATGAAAATAGGTGTGTCATCAAACGCTATAAACATGTACCATCTGTGAAAGGAATATATCACATGCTAAAAAGTGATTTTTTAGTTTGTTTGTTTGTTTGTGTATTTTGTTCAAAAAGTCACCATCGGTTTTCGCCAATCACAAGGCCGTTGGACGCTTTCCAACTTAAATAGGCAAAGGATACTGTACGAGAGTGGGAGTACTGCTCAACCAATTAAATCGCTTGTTTTATAGAATGAACAGGTGATTCTAAAATTGTAAAATTGTCAAATCATAATAGTGTCAACACTCAAGGCAATGCTATTTCGGCGCAGTGTAATACTTTTGAGCGAGATTTGCGATAAAACAAGGCAAAATTGTCTGCAAGTGTGAAAAGGTGAAAATAACCCATTTATACAGTAGTATATAGCCTTATGAATATGATTGCCTTATTATAACAGACTGTAGAATTCTCCACCTACGCTGTATCTTTATCTCCCAGAAAGAAGGTATAAAATGAGATGAGGATTTGCTCGCCAGGCTCTGGACGGAATATATATCTACAGTGTGTGTTGTCAGGGTAACGCAAAGGGTGGTGTGGGGAGTTAAACGTTTGACTTGGTCGACTTGCTGTCATACAGGTAACAATATGACCCTCCTCCACATTCTCTCCTGGGATACCGTAATGCTGAATCAAACGATAATCAACAGAATTCTTCAGGTTATAATTCATATACATCAATTGCTTTTCACTACTATTAAACAGTATAAAACTCAACATTAAATTTGAGAGAAAGCTGTAGAAGTACTTTTTTCTGCGTGGTATTAATTTACATGATGGTCACAAACTTTCCGCGGAAATTTTCCAAGCAAACCTATATAAATGTAGGCATATAGTGACAGTATAGAAATCCCAGTATTTAACTTTGAATTAAACAGAAATTGATTCCGCTGTGACCCCGTGGAAAAAAGTACGTCTATAGTATACAGAAATATTTATAAAATTACATGATGAGATAAAGATCTAATTCAAATCCATATTTCCTTTCTATTGTTAATCAACATATTAAAACACAGTTTTTATCAGTAAACTATTAACTAGGTCAGGTACTTGCTAAGATGAGTACCTTTTCGTAACACTGCAACAGAGGTTATATTTTCACTGAAGTGAATATATTTATAGGTAGAAAAGAAATTTTCTCTGATAATTTGTGTACATACTATTGTAAATAAAAAGAGACATGGCAGTAAAGAAATAATTCAATTTTCTTCAATTTATATGTTTATATACATGTATACAATGTGATTTCAATAGTCTCCTTGATATTAAACTCTGCATTATAGTAATTTTGTCTCTCCTGTACCATCAGAGACAGATACGTGAGACGTAGTAGTTTGATTTTCTTCCTCTAAGGACATGAGTCTATAATCTACAGTACAGGGTTGCAGTAATTTTCACAGAGATTTCTCTAGTCGGTAATAACCAACTTAAAGCAGAGAGTGCTGAGTAGTAACTAGCTATCACGTGTTACAAATGGATCAGACAACTGACCCTGCTAGACCCAAGTCAGAATTAGTTTACCCTTTAAAGAGATATCACAAGAAAGTGTTTTGGGCATTGTAACAATTCTAATATGGCATATTCACAGCAGAAAAAAGACAGGAAGCAATAATTAATTAGCATATTTTGACATAGATGTACACTCGTAATATAAGACTATTTTAATACTGAAAATTGCTTTTCAGTCATGAGAGCTTTATTTTTACTTGAATTGCACATGAGTTTCCTTTAAAAAAAATTATTCTGGCCTTAAGACCTTACATTTTCGTCTTGGGCCTACAGCAAAACTTGCTTAGTACAAACACGGATATTGCAAATTTACGGATAGCGAAGTCATCTTGGATCCCCAGCTATATAAATTTAATGAATTTCTTATACAGTTATAGCAAAGTAATTTCATAGGTCTCAGTGACTTCGCTATAACCGAGTTTTGCTGTAAAATATTGATTACTACAGGTTACATTATTACTAATAACATTTAAGCATTTTTGAAACTAGATAATTATCTATTTATTCCAACACCTAATTTTTGTGAGATTGTTAATTGAGAAAAAAATTGATGAACTGTAGGTTATTTATGGATTTGTTAAAATACCGGTGATCTTTAACAATATATTTACAAAATATAGATTACCTGGTATGAACTCATAGTAAGCACTAAATCCTCTGCCTTCACGAGCATTATCAGTGTTGAATATTAGGACTAATCGTGACCTTTTGCTGCTGGTGTCGGGGGGAAATATGGTCCACAGTAACGTTCTTTGAACACCCTGGTGTCTTCTCTACCCTCCTCATCCACAGCTACATAGCCAAAATTACAACTACAAAGAGGATCATAAAATCCCAAAATTACACCTTCAAAGAGGATCCCAAAATTACACCTACAAAGAGGATCCCAAAATCCTAAATTACACCTATACAAAGAGGATCACCAAAGAGGATCACAAAAACCTAGATTAAACCTACAAAGAGGATCACAAATTTACACCTACAAAGAGGATCCTAAAATTACTTCTACAAAGAGGATCATAAAATCCTAAACACCTACTAAGAGGATCACAAAATCCCCAAATTACACCTTCAAAGAGGATCCCAGAATTACACCTACAAAGAGGATCCCAAAATCTTAAATTACACCTACAAAGAGGATCCCAAAATCCTAAATTACACGTACTTAAAGAGGATCTCAAAATCCTAAATTACACCTACAAAGAGGATCACAAAAACCTAGATTAAACCTACAAAGAGGATCCTAAAATTACTTCTACAAAGAGGATCATAAAATCCCAAACACCTACTAAGAGGATCACAAAATCCCCAAATTACACCTTCAAAGAGGATCCCAAAATTACACCTACAAAGAGGATAACAAAAACCTAGATTAAACCTACAAAGAGGATCATAAAATTACTTCTACAAAGAGGATCATAAAATCCCAAACACCTACTAAGAGGATCACAAAATCCCAAAATTACACCTGCAAACTTTCCCAAAATCCTAAATTACACCTACAAAGAGGATCCCAAAATCCTAAATTACACCTACAAAGAGGATAACAAAACCCTAGATTAAACCTACAAAGAGGATCCTAAAATTACACCTACAAAGAGGATCCCAAAATCACACCTAAAAGAGGATCACAAAATCACACCTACAAAGAGGATCCCAAAATTACACCTACAAAGAGGATCCCAAAATCACACCTGCAGAGAGGATCCCAAAATCACACCTACAAAGAGGATCCCAAAATTACACCTACAAAAAGGATCACAAAATCACACCTACAAAGAGGATCCCAAAATTACACCTACAAAGAGGATCACAAAATCACACCTACAAAGAGGATCCCAAAATTACACCTACAAAGAGGATCACAAAATCACACCTACAAAGAGGATCCCAAAATTACACCTACAAAGAAGATCACAAAAACCTAGATTAAACCTACAAAGAGGATCACAAAATCACACCTACAAAGAGGATCACAAAATCCCAAATAGCACCTACTAACAGGTCGGAGAGAATACTAGAAATCGGGTATTATCCGTGAAATCACGTATAATACTCGATATTAGGGTATCGTTGAATCCGCGAAATCGGGTATAGGAGGTGTAATCACCTAATAAAACTTAAACAATAGGATGGCGCATGTTGCCGAGTTAACTTTCATCTAGATACACGTTTTCTAAAGGTATCACTAGCCAAGTAAGAATTTGGGCGTCAAGATTAATGCGCTCGGGACAACAAATACCCGTTTTCAGTACATTTCATGATCTGCACACAAAAAAAGGCGTTCGATTTGCTTTACATTTTTCCTTATGTTGAAAGTATATGCATCTTCCTTAAACGTTCATTCCCAACACAACAGAATTGTAAAGTATCAGAATTCGGGAATTTATAATAATTCCACATCAACACGACAAACATGAACAATTTGTAAATAAATCAAATTATACGGAAACACATTTCACACACCAGATATGATGCAATGTATAAACAAGGGATTGTCTTTCGTATCTAATTATGTGTCATTAATTACTTTCACATTCATCTTGTGCATAAAATCAAATTTATTTATGAATGTATAAATAATGTAATGATAATAATGTCTAAAATTTTGGCTAAAAGAACCCTCTTTCTCTTTTTTTGAAAAGCTTTTCTTTTTTATTTATCATTCAAACATATTGTAGAATATGTCTTCAACATTTTAGCAGAGACAGTGATAGTTTCAGGAATACAGCTTATGAGAGAACATAACTGTTGATCGTTTAATTTCGCTAAGTCATCAATATTTTACCATTTCTTTGCGACTTCAAAGGGGGGGGGGTAAAGGCTTCTTTGTCACCTCTGACAAAACAACCTCGACTGTGTTCTACATGGGTCCAAGAGACCTCTCTTTGAATGTCACGGTCGGTTAAACCCAGTCATATATTTTTAATGGTAGGGAAGATTTATTCATATACATTGTATGTATACAAAAAGCAACCTGTTATTTTCTAACACAATATGAGACTACAAGTAACTAGAATTCAGGTTTATTTTTTAAACACATTTTTTCATTATAGATGAGTATTAGGAAAAGTTATTGCCATGAGTAATACATATCATAGATAAATTAAAAAGAAAACTGTGACATATTGTCTAGAACCAATCAGATAGTGCGTTGTATTAGCATATTATAATGTGGTATAAGATAGCGATATAAAAAAAATATAGAAAGTTAAGAGTTAAGATTTACCCTGTCTATCAAATAGTATAATAAAGAAAGGAAGTGGCTATGATTTTTATGAAATTTTAATGTCCTATGAGGAATTATATTCCCAAAAAGTAAGACAAGAGTTTCCAAGGCAATTGAACACTCCATTATTTCAGTTTGTTCATAAACATGTTCATAAACGTAAAAACTATAAGAAATGTGAAAACTTGACTATGTAATTCATATTTCAGTATGACTGTACCTTGATCTACATTGAGAAATTCAATGTATTATAAGCTCATGAAAAGATGTACACATTTGACTTTTATTTATACCCCCCCCCCCCAAAAAAAAGAAGAAAATCCTGTTCATATGACTTCTCGCTCTCAATTTTCTCACAAATGCATAAAATAAAGGTAAAATAGCATATCTTGTATCGTTTAAAATGCAACCAAAAAATTTACGGTGTCTTTGAATAATCAAAGTACTGAAAGTACTGAAAAGGGGTTAGCATGCTTTCATCGAACATGTACAGTGTACAATAACAAAAAATGCATTGAATGATGATATTAAAGTAGGCATGCATATCTTTTTTCCAGTGTCATCAGCGAAGAAGCAGACACACTGAATTTTGTAGTACTTAACTAAATGGTATAACCAATAACATCCCAGACTGATGTCACAAATGTTTGTTTCAAAATATCAACCTGAGATTTTCAGTTTGAAAGACAGGAAGTTCAATTTCAAAAATTTCTCCCTAATTGTCTCCATTGGTGGCGTCCAAAAGTGCTCAGAACGAAAAAAAATTATGTTGATGTTGCAAATTTAACTGGCTTTCATGCTCTATTGATTCTGAAATTAGGTACCTGTAAAGGCTACTATAGCAAACAACTCAAAAAGAAAATAAAATGATAATTCAAATTCTTTAGATTAATTGATTTGGAGTACTGTACATAGATCTTTAGCTGGCTAGTCTGAGAAAAACGGATGGACGAGCAGAGAATTAATTAATTTCAGAGAGCTTCAGTTTCGTAGGCTCACTGCCGGTCAGCAGGTGTGACCTGTCATTGGGGATGCTTACTTCTCCTAGGCACCGGAACTTTCAAGGATCTTTTTTTCTTTTGAGACCGATCACTGTTCATTCTTTTTTTTTGATACAGATACTGAGTACATCTGTTTATTAATATTATGAACTATTTCTCTCACAGGAAGAAAGACAAGTAAACAAGATAATAAAGTTTTAAGAAATGTACATTATTGACTTTTCATACAATTAAATGTTCGAATAAGTAAATGGTATATGACAATTATTTTAAAAAGAGTCTTGCACGATATGTATAAATGAACATATACTGAGTATTTGGCAAATATTTTTCATGACATATTGTAAAAAAAAAAAAAAAAAAAAAACGTGTGGAAAGGAAAGTTGTTGTTTAATCCATCAATACTAGTATTTTAAAAATTCAAAGGTTCACTAAAAGTCAGTGTATATTACAAACAATTTAATTGTCCATTGCAAGAATTACCTAGGTATCATTGTCACTTTCTTCAATATGTCGCATAAGCAATACATTGTTTGTTTTGTTTTTTTTACTAAAAACAAGTATGCGGATTTCTATCAATATGTCTGTAAGCATCTGTATTTAAATTTTTATTTCTTCTCAAAGGCTCAAAATGATAATTAACAAATTGGACAAATTCAAATTTAAAAAGTATTTTTACAACTTATACCTTGCATAGGAATTTAGCAAACTTTCAAAAATAATCATTCATTAGATATAATTTTCAATTTGTGCTTATCGTCAAGATTTTTCATGCCTCTTTTTTCTGTGCATATTTTATATCGGCTGATTTTTAGAAAAGGATCGAATGCCGATTAAATTTTTTTCTCCAATTTTTTAAAATTAATGTTAGTATTTTCAGGCTCCCATTATTTTTTTTTTAAATAAAAATGTGATCGTTTAAAATCGTTTGTAATAATTAGACTGAGTACAGAATTTATCCCTGGAAACAAAGCTTTTTATCATCTTTTAAATAATTTCAATTGAGAAAAAAAGGAGAAGAAAACAAATGTTTCATTATGGAAGTAATCCATAACTGTACAACTTACAGATATATTCAGTATTTTTATAAAAAGGCTTTCTTCGTGTACTATTATTACTTAAGTTAATTAAAGGGATGCCTTAATATTTTGGAAAATGAAACTCGATCGAGAGATTCTCCGATGTTTTGCAGTCGGTAATAACCTTCAACCCCTTTAGCCAGTAATTAACCCGTCCTCCCTGTGCCCAGTAGCATAATTCGGTCAAATATTTATTGTTCATGAGGGGTGCCTTATAATTAATCACAGGCATCTGAATTTTTATCAGTAAGTCTCTAAATTAGCCAAATATCGAAACATTCTACCCCCTCTATATATAAATACACAAGGTGTCCAACGCCATTTTGACCACCTGTTCGATTCAGGCTTCAATTTAACACATAAATCGGAAATGCCTACTGGTTTTCGTGTAGCATTGGGTTCAAATATGATATTTCTCACTATACATTTCTTCCTAAAGTTTAAATCTAATGTGTTGATAATGTTATCAGCTAAACTTCATGCTGACTTCGAATTTCGTCACAGGGCCCGATCGCCATCAGCTGATGTCACGGAAATTCAATCTCGACACCAAATGCTCCTATACATAAACTTTTTTTAATACAACAATTATAAATTTATTTCATTGACAAACAAAATCAGAAAAAAATTAAAAAACCGAAAGATTATGTTGTTTTGATAGTCTTGATTTTATTTAACATATGTTATATGTGTTAGAAACAAATCAAAGGTACTAGGTAGAGGCTTTGTTGAAGTTTCCGTTGTCGATAGGTAGCGCCTTATGGAAGTTTCCGGTGTCGATAAAAATCGGACACATGCCATAAAGCGGTTAGCGAAGCTAACCGCTTAAAAATTTCATGCTAAATTGACATAAAGAAAGATACTCACCTTCAATTAGCTATTTTCATACTGTTTTCCCGTGGGTATTTTTTTAATCTTATTTTATTTTCTTCTTTATAATAACGTTGGTATTCTATTATGGCAGAGATATACAATTATGACTCGCTTATACTGTACTCTCTAACTGTTAGGAATAATTTATATTTAAGGAATGACTCTAATTCTTGGCCAGATTATCGAGTATAATATGGTTTAATTTCTTTTAAATTTACGTTTTGTATAATGCGCAAAAGCGGATTATAAAAAAGCGTAAAAAGACCCAAACCATATTATACTCGATAATCTGGCCAAGAATTAGAGTCACTCTTTATAATTTAATTTTAAAATAAATAAACAACTGGGGATGTAAAATTGTGTTGTTTTTATGAGTTCAAATTTACCGCGCAATAATACAACCGTAGTAACGGAAGTGATGGGAAGCAAGGGGAGGTAAAAACTGATACATAGATCTAGCAGCCATGATGCTTGTTTACATGAGGTAAGATCGAGCAACTGTTTGAAGTTAAAGGTACATTCATTAAATCTGGAATTTTTCATGAATCCGAAGGACTGGAAATGAGGGGATTGATGGATACAGATGATTCAGCTGGTTGTCAAGGGGGTGTGTCCCCATACCAAACCAGATTATACAAAATGTTATGCGTTCCTTTTTGGAAATCAACCAATGAGAGACAAGAATACAAACAGAATTAAATTATTTCACGTGAAAGGGACGCCATACATTTTTCAGTAAAAATACATAACGCGGCGTTAGTCGTTTAATTTCTTTTAAATTTCACGTTTTGTGAATAGTGCACAAATTAGAAAATTAAGTATATGGAATACTTTAATGGGAAATAAAGACAAACGAAGTGTAGTTATTTGTTTTTAAAAATTATATTGAAAAATAATAACGCCATTGTGTTCTCTTTGTTACACCAGCAGTGTTTGTCGTGTGATTTTAAACTTATTTGACAACCGTATGAATTAGGTTTAATAAAAATAAATCCACAAGATACTGATGTGCAAGTAACAGTTACTGGCATAATGCGCCATTGCTTTATTCTTTAGTTTTTATAGAAAGTTGCACGGAATACCCGATTTCCCAGATTCAACGATACCCTAATATCGAGTATTATATGCGATTTCACGGATAATACCCGATTTCGAGTATTCTCTCTGACCTGACTAAGAGGATCACAAAATCACAAACACCTACTAAGATTATCCAAATGTCCCAAATAACTTCAAAGGTATAAAATTGTTAACAAAAATAAAAAGCAAACAGTCAATGATAGATACATGTTCTTTCCCATTACATATCTTGTCTCATCAATAATACTTACTCTGGCATACTGCCAGGAATGGAGAAATCGGTGAATTTGATTTTAACTTTTTCTAGTCTTTCTTGGTTGTACAGACCATCAATATAGTAAACACAGGTAATATTGACAGGAAATTTTCTTGGGTAGCCAGGTGACTTTATAGTTCCGTTTCTAGAATTATTGCTGATTATCCGCATATCACAAGCTGTATTAAAAGAAGAGATGATCAGTAATAAATGTATGGTTTCAGAAGTCACTGGATGTTTTCTACAAAATTCCCTTTTCCTTGGTGTGTCACCATTCAATGCTACCTCTCATAAGTATCAATTTCATCTTTAAACAAGAGCAAGACAATATAAATTCTAAAACTTTGCAAAGCACTAAGAGCAAAAAATTCTTTTTAACTATTTCATATTTCACAATCTAAAGCAATCTAATATTATTTTGAAATCCAAATTTGGTTCCAAATTCAAACAATTCTCAAATAAATTACTTTACAAAATGGCTGTAATCAGCTTGTAATCGATTACGTTTGAAATCCAAAATAATTGTTATTTAATTTTTTACTTTTGAAAGTTACCCATCCCAGCTACTGTCTTCATGTAAGACTAATGACACATATTAATTTAGCTAGTACTGAACACCTAATGGGTAAGACTTACCTGTCCCTTTGATATGATACAATGATACATATTAAGTTAACTAGTACTGGACATCTAATGGTTAAGACTTATTGGTCCCTTGGCGTTTGATATATGATACAATGATACATATTATGTTAACTAGTACTGGACACCTAATGGTTAAGACTTACCAGTCCCTTTGATATGATACATATTCTGAGACTCCATTGGCTTATCTGAAATATATTACAAGTAAACATAACTTTGACATTTGAATATATAACCAAGACAAACTTTTAATTTCATACATGTTTATTATGCAAACTTTAATTTGTTTTACAAAACACTTACTGAAATGGCAAAAGTGAACTTGTTAAAAGTTTCTTTTTTAAATGCTTGTATTTTCCCAAAAGGTTATATCTCAAAAGATTCATTTTTAACTTGTAAGAAACCTTTTAAAAATCAAATTTTTAAAATGTCTGCGCTCATGAATCTTATTTTACATAAATTGGACAAAGTCATGGAATGTACTATCTACATCATTATAGACTTGGTAGCTTACATATTCATTTTTTTTAATTTAAATTCTCTAATACTTCATATTGAACACGGTAACTGGTATGTAGCACATATGGAATGCTCTGATACATTGGATTTCTTTATTTAACCCCCCCATTAACAACTTTGAATTGTAATGGAGATCAGAGATAAATTCTAGTTTAATTCACCCCCTTTTCCTATTCACACTCTGTCTTTGCCAACAACATCAGTCTGAGGGCCTGAGTGCTAAATAAATTTAAAAAATTTAAATTTCAAGACATACAACATATTGGGGGAGATAGCTCTTGAGATTTCAATCAAATGTTTCACATAATGCTAATTTTGACATTAATTATGAATCGTTAAAATGAAGAGCCATGTGATCCCGATGTAATAAATGGAATAAAAATAGAATAGAGGCTTTAATTTGATTGTTATTTCTTTTGGAATATCAATTCTTATCCTTGATCACTTGCGCAATTGCAATAAATCTTTCCCCTTCATGAAAAAGAAAAAAAGACAGATTCCTTAAGAAGTGATACTGCTACTATATATTGTTTTACAATCTGCCAAATAACATTGATATTACAGGTGTATCTTAATATTATCATTGTACAAATTAAGACATTCCATTGCATTTCTTTCCTTTGAAATAGGTCACTGACGAAAGAGAACCAACTCTTAAAATGTAGGAGGCTGTTTCTTTGTAACAGCCATTTATAATGTAAATGGATCAATATAATTCAAGTGAAAAATACTGACCTAATTTTACAATATCTTTTATAAAATGAAAAGAGACATTGAAGCCTCTCCTGGTGAATTTATAATCTACGTTGGTATGGTACGGATCAGCTACAGCCCCCATCCTCCCGGCCCTGGTTATAAACTCCATAAACAGGTTCTCTCCTGAGGAGTAGAAAGTCACAGCACTGTGTTCACCGCAAAACTTACTGAGGACAGGCGACTGTCTGCTGGCTACATCATAAACCGTCAGGGAATCGTAGGGACAGCTGTCACAAAATACAATCAGCAATTAATGATTTAATTATTATCATGTACAGAAAAAAAACTCAGTTCTAGTAAAGGCGTCATGTAGAGTTGGGTATTGCAAGTGAAAACCATATTGCGATGTATTGCAATATTTTACTTTGAATATTGCAATACACATGTATATTGTAGATTAATTATCATTAATACATTTGAGCAGAATGTTTGAAATGCTGTCAAGTTAAAAGACTATTTGAATTTACCTGGTTTAATTAAAGGGGGAAGAGGGACAAGACAAGAATAACACTTTACTTCTAATAAAAAACCAGGTAAAATAGTAAAACAAGAACTCTCTTGGAGAATTTTTTAAATTAAAAAAAGGTTTTTTAAAGAATATACGTGTACGAGGGTTGTCCATAAAATCGTGGACAAAGCGTTTTTCTCGAAAAGTAATGGGCGCACTAAGCTAAAAATTTCAGTAAATGTTTATTTATCATATTTAAGTTCATGATAATTTTTTTGATAAAATATATGCAAAAATAAAGATTGTATTATGCTTGAATGTGCACGAGGTATTGTCCTACGGCGCACGGTCAAAAAACCAACGTTTTATTAAAGAATACACAAGTTTGGATTCAAAATAAAAGTTTTAAATACAAAAGATTTGGATTAAAATTATCCTAATTCAATTCCACAATCAATTTTGTAGTCTTTGTAAAAATTTTAAAGCATTTGCTTAATTTTTGGCAGTTTCTCGAGCATTCGAAATGGGAAAGTGGTAAACACAACACATGAAAAATGGCGACGTTTTTTGACGTTACGGCGCACCGGAGAGCAGTTTAGTTTTATTACGATGTTGTAATGACACCTTTAGAGACTTGGAATGACCATAGAAGAAAAAAGATTATAAAATATCACCATATCTTAAGTATACAAATGAAATAGGAGTTTTCTTAGCGAAGTTTTTTGATCGAGTCCCTGGGGAGTACAAAACATACGGACAAACTCCTAATGTAATAGCAAAAGACGCTGTCACAGTAGACCGCCGATACGAGATTTTCTATTAGTTGAAGGATGGTGAGAATCAAAATTGTCCGTAACTTACTAATAAATCTTCAGAAGATCGTATGAGGGTGCCAACTGGTTCTTCGACTGTTTATGGAGACTAAAGAATGTGTATCAATGAAATTCCTAAATTTAAGTCAGACTCATCCAACTTCATTTTCAGCAAAGATAAAACGTGAAGCTGTATCAGACACTTTGACGTTATAATCCATGCGCCGTAAGGTGATACAATACATGGCATAAAATCTCATAATTTGTTTATTTATGCATATATTTATCTGAAATTCGCTGTGTATATTTTGTTTTACAAAAATCAAAACTAAATAATAGTGAAAATTTCAGAACGCAGTGATGTTTAATTTTTACACTAGAGAACTTGTCAACGATTTTACGAGACAACCCTCGTATAATCTTTTTTTAAAGAAGATTCAATGTAGACTCCAAAATCAACGCAATAGACGAGGTAGGCGTCTACCATCATGTTGACGAAGGAATATTCAACCGCCATAGTACGTCTCAGGACAAGTACGATGCCATAGTTCTCAGCAAGATCCCTGTGATGCATATGTCTGCAATTGATGACAATAAGGAAAATGTTCATGGTAAAAGGAACAATGTTTCTAATAACACAAGTGGTATATCGAATGTTATTCACTTGCTTTCAATTCGGATAATTCATCAGAATCTGCAAGGGAGAATACGAAATGCACTTGAAATGCAAACAGGAAGACTTAAAAAAGAAAAGCATGATCATGTTATCTTGGTGCGAATTTAAGTGTTTCATATTATGTTTTCATTGAAGTGCTTCCTTAACCACAGCTGTTATAAATTACGCACCTATATCTTAAGAAATTTAATTATCTCTCTCACACACACACGTCTGTGATGCATATAGGTACAGTCCCTATTTACCAATCTCTCTTTTTTCTTTTTCTTCACAAAATCCCAGATCAAGCAATCCCAGTCACGTGCTGTTTAGCGCGAATGGACGAGTCGTATGTCTCGATGGACACTCTGTTAAAATCTGATTGTGTTATATGTAATTTCTAAGTTTTTTTCAAATACATCATTGATATCCACCTGTTGTATTTCCTAATGATAAAGCAAGACGGATGTGCCAACTCCAAAATCCCAGATAGTGCGCTGCAGAAACAAGTTCAGCAAAACTCGGTTAGAACGAACACGGATATAGCGAATTCACGGATAAAGCGAAGTTATCTTGGATCCCCAGCTATATAAATTTAATGAATTCCTTGTATGGATATAACAAATTTACTCAATTACGGATATATATCGAAGCAATTTCATAGGTCCCTGTGACTTCGTTATAACCAAGTTTTACTGTAGGCATAATTAGGCGCAAAAATTAATCAGCTGTATCTTTGATACATATCTCTGTAATGTACTAAGTATGTGATCACTTATGTTGTTCAATTGATCCTGGCACTAGGTATCAATAACATTTTAACACTTAAACCTCTAGATTGATTATGTGAGCTTCAACCGTACTAACACCAAGACAGTACAATGAACTTTACAAGTCCCATTGTTTCGTGTGTAGTTTCCGTCCTGGCAGAGTAACAAGAGGTACTCGTAACTCACGGAGTAGAAAAAAAAGGCCAACGTTGCAGTTTTAGATCCACTGATATAAGACGGTGCTCTTCAATTTATACACAATGAGGCGATACTTATTGAAAATGCCAAAGAAACATAATGAATTAACCTTTGTCCAATGATCAAAATGTCATTGAAATACTGAGAGTATATGTTGACCAATTGCATTTTATTTTACGCAGCAAAATAACCCTACCTCCAAGTTTTGACTCTTCACAAATTAACGATAGGTCGCCTTTAATTTTACGTTGTTTGTTAATAGCCCATAGTGTCACCCAGCAACTGACTGTAAATAATCACATTCTAAAAAATAACTTGCATTCAAAACTAAATCGCTCATATAGCAAATAAAAAAAATAATATTTTTAACGACGAAAATGTTCACAGAAGCTCATAATATTTTTTACTTTATTTATACAACACCCAGTACACTTTCTTTGTAAAATCTGAAAAAAATTGTTAAATTATCTCAATTATTGAATGCATTTTTCAATGAAAAAATATAATATACATAAAAAGTAAGAATCGATTTTTCAATTATAGTAATCGTGAACCTTATTCAACTAAAAAAAAACAGTCTTTATTAGAAATCCTTTGTATCTTGTAGAGACGATTGAAATGTCACAATTTGTTATGAATTTCTTCATATTTTTTAATACGTTGTTGTTAGCAAATAAAAGACAATTATAGAAACATTGAAGTGCCTGTAATCTTATTCCTCCAAATTTTTCTTCAGACAAATTCTCATCGCACGAAAGGGTATACAAGAAACATTGACGCAAGCGTCAAAATTTGGCCGCAAACCAATTTATTAATTCTTTCATAAAACAATTAAAAACTGAATTCTTATATTTATCTGTTAATTAATATATATCCCTATGACGTTAAACATTTGAATGCGACATTCAAGGATTTTCTTCAGTACATAATACATGTACATTGCTATATGTTCAATGTATTTAAGCAACTTACTCATAATCCTCTACGTCCCCGCACTCAGTTTCATTTGTACAAACGAAATCTGGCGGAAGTTTGATATGTTTAAGTAGTTTTAACACTTAACAATCAAAACTAACATTTAAACTTATCTATCTAGAGATACTTTAACTTTGAATAAAATGTAACAACTATGTGGGGCTCCTCGATCGCTCAGAGGATGTTGAAACCCCCAAACTCCCTCTAGATCCGCCACTGCATTTCTTCTCTATCTTGTTTTGGTGTGAGATGTGGCGGGAAAAGGCTTGGCATATTGTAAAACGCGCTTTATCCTTGTCTGTTGGAGAAAAATCTCCTTATATTCTGTCTGATAATAAACTAAGATTAAGTCATATTTTGGAAAATTTTCCGTATTAAAAGTACATTGTATACTTATATTTACACGTCATTTTAAATTATGTATACAACCAATCCTGTTGAAGTAGAGAAAGTAAATTTGTTTATGCATGTATATAACGCGGTCCTTGCTTTAGATTATGCCCAACATGTGTGCTTTTCTCCGCACTTCATTTACGTCGAAGTTTGTCAATCAGGATTGGATGAAACATTTAACCCATTATTTATAAAATTTTAATTTTATGATTATTGTGAGTTTTTCTTTAACATTTAAAAACTCTTTCTTAATATTCTATTCCATGAATGTGAAATATTTTTTATTCAAATTGTTCTAACTCT